ACTCGTCGCCACTGACGGATGATTCAATTAAGAGGCGTAAATGAAAGCTCGCAGCCGTGGGCGCGAAATGTTATTAACCCTTTGCAGTCCTGCGCCGAGACCGATTCGACGTTCGATTTTAGTTCCGATAGGTTTCGCCGATGTTCGAACCGTGCGTTCGAAATATGATGACGGTGGTTATGGAACGTTTTATTGGTTAAGTGTAGAGGCTTGGGTATGTAAAATTAACTTTTAGGACGAGGATTTTTCGGAGGAGTCAGCAGTATTTAGCTGACTTGTACATCAAACTCCTAAATACAAAAGACAAAGATTTAGACTTTTAAAAGTATTTAAACCTATCAATCTGTTGATTGAATAGTTATACGTTGATGACTTTGTATCTTGGATATAAAAATTAAATATTTTTAAAATGCCGACATTCGTCCTTGAACGGTTAACAATGGATGTTTCTGTTTTGTTAGGAAATACGTTTATCTGAGGTCTGGCATATCTTGTGTTATATGCTGCGCAGGTAAGTAGGATAACAATTGTTATTATTACTTTACTAATTATAATTAGGAAATATATATGCAGCGATGGGTTCGTGTATTATGATATACTACTAGACTTTAATTTTATTATTGCAGCCCCACGAATTCTCGGTGAAATTTTCTTACTTTTCATCGCGTATCAGTGAACAACAAGTGAACTTAAAACTTACTTGAACGATGCAGCGGGGGTAACTAAGTGTTAGTCAATGTAACCGCAAACTTCCCTCGAAGGCTTAGGCTAATTAGTGTCCTCCAGTTCAGCGCCATATTTTATTTAAATAAGAGAGGATCATCCTTCGACAGCGATTAACAGATTAACACAAAAATATAACAAACATGTTCCTAATACCATCAATCCTTAACACTATTTCTACCGAAGGTATTAAAAGACACTTTTCGAAATTTTAACTTACAGCTATGATCCAAGTTCAGTAGTATATTCTGAATTGATTTTTTGACTTTTCCAATAACGATTATAAAATTAAATATAGGAAATATCTAAAATTCAATTCAGGGAAAATTATTCACCGCAAAAAGTAATTTCAAGTAAAATTTCAAGAGATGTCTTTTGACACCTTCGGTAGAAAGTGTCAATTATCTCCCAACAAACACAGTACAAAAAAGCTCGAACCTCTCAACGAGCAAGTCACCTCTATTCGATATTTAGAAAATGTAGAAATGTATTATTAATTAATAAGATCTGAGATAAGCTTGTTCAACACGCGACCCAAGACGGTTGTGAATGCAGCCTAACAAAAAATCATAAGCTTACAAACTGTATGAGATTACAACTGGAGACCTATTAACAATACTGCAAATACAAGTTAAACATGCTATTAACCCTTTGCACTCGGGAGGTGCGCTCTCAATTACCACTTGATTCGACACAGTAAAACTACAAAATCTGATATCGATACTTGTGATTTCCTTTCGAGTTAGTTTCAAAGAATATCGTCTTCGCCTTGTCGAAAAATGTTAAATATTTCTAGTGCGAAACTTCTGAGTGCAAAGGGTTAATTTATGTAACGCCCACAACAGTCCATCTTGTTCCAATGAGACCCAGGGGAGCTAAAATGTTGGACACTCCCGATCAAAAAGAACTAATAGTGGCTTTGTATAAAAGTTTATACTGCATGGAAAGTGGATCACTGCGACGGCAGCAGCATCATAAGGAAATATTCAACGGTGAAGTTAAATATAACGACGGTGTGCGCACAAAAGGTAAGGATCCCGGGTGCTGGTCGTTTCGATTGGGAAAGTTTGCTGATAAAATTCGTCCGAAGTACGTTACCCGGCCAGAAGTCGGTAACAAGGATAATTGCATTCCCCTTTTCTACAAGAAAAATATCTGCCCGCTGGCGGTGTTGTGGAATTGTCAAACTCTAGTTATTGGCTTCGAACTTGTCGAGGAACCATGATTTACGATCACGGTGTAGAGGAGTTCGCAATCCTTTGGCTCCTGATCACGTTGCCATGACCTTCTGAAGCAAAAAGCTCAAATAAAATCAAATTAATGAAATAAACTGTGCTTTTCACTATGTGCGTTTTCGAACGATGTGTATGTATATTATCGACGCGACAGCTAAAACGGATGAACGAAATAGAATGAAAAAAAAAATAAGTCCTTGTTTTCAGGTTCGACTTGGAGAGATTAAAGATGAAACGTTTTGAGCAGGGTGGTTTTTTTGCCACTGGACCGATCGATTTTCAGGCATTCCGCTGTTTGTCGAATCAAAAGTATCGTTAGTCGAAGGAAATCTTTTTAATAACACAAAGGGATCATGCCCATTATTCGTGGATTATTACCGAGCATGGTTTTCAGCAGTTACGCGCGTTTAATAAATGTCGACGAGGATGCAACGCGAGACAAGAGTCCGGATTTTTATTCGCGGATCAAAAGCGTTATGCCACTGCGATTGTTATGAAAGTCGTTTGAGTGGCATTTATGTAAC